AGGGAGGCGGGGGAGCTGACTGTTACTCTGCCAGTGTTTTTTCTCCCTGTGTTGCGTTTTACAGGAGAATGTAAGATCTTGTGTTGTTTGGTTGTTTTTTCCTGGAGGAGCTTGGCAAGGTCTTGGGAGGGCTGGAGTGAGGCATCACACATGGAGTTTGGATGAAACTCACTCACTACACAGTGGTGGGGAGCAAATGACTTAATGTTTGCCTCTGTGTTTGCCCTTCTGCCTGATCCTGGTGTTCCTCAAAGCTTCGGATGCCAGCCAAGCCTTGTGTCCACACTTCGGTCACCACCTGTGTTAGCAGTGGCTGCTCCTAAGTCTCAGGGATGTTTTTAATTTGGGTCTTCCGCAATGCATTTGCCTTTATTTCTAAAGACTTGGAGCTGCTGATTGTGAATTAAAAGGGGTTGTTATTTTCGTAATGTACCTCAGAGGCGTTTTAACGGGACGCAGCCTTGGAGAAGTGAAGTCAGTTTGGTGAGGGGAGAGTAACCACCCAGCCCCTGCTCCCTACCCTGCTCTGCCAGGTCGGAGTGGGCACCAGAGCACATCCTTGCTGCTGTCACAGCGGCTCTTGGGCTCGTGGTGTAGCTGGGCCAGGGCAGACGTGGCACCGCTGTCTTCCCATGTCAGCACTGCTGCCGGGAGGTGTTCCTGAAACTGCAAGGTGGCTTAGGAAACCGCATCCAGAAAAGTAGTGTAAAACACACACGCTTAGCACTTCTCCAGAGTAAGCCACCTCACACTGGTTCCTGGCAAATTGTCTCAGCATTACAGTCCCCAGCCCTGGCAGCATCTGATCAAATCCAGACTAATCTCCCGTATCCCTGCTGTGTTTGTGACCTGTTGGGTGTCCCTCAAGTTCAGTTAGCAAAGTAGTTGTCCTCTGCCAGCCATGGCCAGAACAATGCTGTCCAGTTGGTGAGGCTGAGGGAGGCCTCGTTAGAGCTCATTTGTACTAATTACAGACGATCCTCCCTAATCTCTCAAGATTTCTCAGCTTAAATGGCAATGTGCTTGGGTCAGGAACTTCAAAGCACGTAAACAAGCTGTGAAAGTGAAGTGAGAAGAGGAATGGTGTGAATCATCAGTGGGCTGAGACAGCCGGGGCTGGAGTAACAAACAGTCCGTGGGTGCAAATCCTCGTATTTCCTGTCCTGAGACCCACCAGGGCAGCAAAGGTCCTGCTGAGGGCCACACACAGCCCCTTGCATGGCCCAGGCGGGCTGAGGCAGCTGGCCCATTGGCCTCCAGGGCAGCAGGGCTTTTGCAGGCCTCACACACACACACAATGGCAGTGGGGGTTCAAACGTTGGCTGGCAGAGCTGGGGAGCGTGGCGCTCACGGTGGGACCTGCCACCGGTGGGCACGGGGGCTGTGCAGCCCTGGGTCCCTTTTGAGGGCTCCTGGGCCTCCTGCACATCTCACAGTGAAATATCAGCAACTCTTCCTTGAAAGAGAAGAGTTCCCCGCCATGAACAAAGGGGAAAACCTCCCTCTTTCCTCTCCATCCAAGGACTCAGCCTTTTTAGAGGGCATTTTAGAGCATTGCAATACCTCCTCTGCCTCCGCAGTGAGGGCATCTTCTACTAACTAGCCTGGGTGGTTTTCTCCCAAGAATCAGCAGCCCATCATGATGCAAGGGGGATTAACTGAGCAACAGCGAGTGAGGAGGGATAGTGGCTGTGCTCATCCAGGTGCAGGAGGAACATTCATCCTGGTTCACGCTGGCAAAGGACGGCGGACATGCTGTGACGGCCCGCAGCCGCCATGTCCTACACTGCCACCCCTGAATCATTACTTACAGTCACCAACAACTTGATGCCAGCTTGTGCCCCAGATGTCAAAGGCTCTGTATCCTGTTACTAATCCACTGAGCCATCAGTCCCTTGATGCAGGATGGATTTACACCAGTAACCTACAAGTGAAAGGCTCAGGGTTGTCTTCTCAATCCCCTGATCTCTCCCTGTCCCCTGGCAGCTGTGCCAAAATGGCTCTCAGTCTTCCATCAGTCCTGCCTGGTCTACAGCCCTGATCATTCACAAGCAGTGTGGGGCACGTGTTTTGGTATTAGCCATTTACTGCCGGGAAAAGGGATCGGGATTCAGGATGTCCAAAAAGAGCAACAGAGACATGTGGGTCAGAAGCAGATCTCGTGACTAACGAGACATCTAAGAAGCCAACATGCCTGGGCCAGCTCCTGACCCACACAGGGCTACAGGGCTCAGTTGTCCAGAGGGGACCAGCTCTGCCCTGCCATGTGGAGCTATTTGGAAGCCTCCTTGGTACTGGACTGGAGATGAGAGCAAAAGGATTATCTCTGGAATTAGATTATTTAGATTGGAACTTTAATCTCTGACCCTGTCTGCACAAGAAAACAGTAAACCTCCCTGACATTATTTGGGGTTTGTTATGCAAGTAAAGCTGGGCTTGCAGCAAGAGCTGCTGCTGGAAGGAAAAAAAATGAATGCTCTGGAGACCTGCCCTGTCTGACCTGTTCACTGGATCATGGTAAGACCTGGCAGAAAAGAGCTACAGATAATTTGGCAGGGACCCAGCTTTCCTCGGAAGTAGCTGTGGCTCTAGGACTGCCTCTGCAATGACACAAAGGTGTCCTGCAGCCACCCTTCCCCTAGCACCGGTGTCTCTGCATTTCTTGGGAAGACAAACACAGCTCTGCCATGGTACAAACACAGGGGCCTGCCCAAGTGGAAGTGGCAGTAGTTCGCAGAGAACATCCCCAGCCACCACGATGTTGCGCTGTGGATCAGTGCAGCCTCTAGAAATGGGTTTACAATTTTAAATAAATTAAGACCATGTCCTGCTATCTGCCGCTGTGGGCAAGGACGCGGCTGCTGGGTGCAGGACCTGGGAATGAGCAGGCAGAAGCAGCCACCATGCCTGTTGCCACTGACTGTCCGTCGGGCTTGACCCTGCTGGCTACTGCACAAGGCACGTGCCCTGAGCCGTCACTGGTCCCCGTGGGCAGGCACAGCCACAGCCACTCTGCTGCACACAGACAAGCAGCGCGGCTGTCCTCTTGCTCTGCACACACACACGCTTCCTTCTCAACGGGCTCCACTGCAAACGAAGCACATTTGTGCACCAACACTTCCTGTGGCAGACACAAGCCTGCACAGGTCTCTCCCTCCCCAGTATTAGCCGAAGTACGTATATAACTTACCAGGACTCTAGACTGTTCAGTTTATCACCCTCATTTCCTAAGCACAACACAGCTCAGCTGCTGTACCCGTAAATATGGAGATCTGTAAATATCCATTTTCCAATTTCTTGGCTTACACCCACATTTCTAAGACTGGACCAGCTCCATAAATACACACAGATAGTTTGCATACACCCACTTGCAAACAAATTCTTCTACTGCTGCACTCCCAGGTACCTATCTGCACCCCCTGCTTTTATGCACGCACACACAAACCTTTCCCAGTGCACATGGCTGTGTAAACATGAGTACACACACACACACACACACAAATATAAGGAGAAACATAGTTTTTCCATTGCTGGGATATCAGCCATGGCTACAGCTATGCTAGTTGGCACAGCAACGGGAAAGCAGAAGAGAAAATCCTCTTTTGGGACATGGAGTTGTGGACCCTGAGAATCTGAAAGGGAACCTGGGAAATGAAAGATTGAGATGGAGGAAGCAGAAGGATACTGGTCCCTGACCTTCCAGTTGGAGTAAGGGGGCAACTGAGAGGAAAACAGCTCCCGTTTACACTGAGAAACACAGAGCAATGATGATGCCCTTTGAAGCCAAGTAGAAATTAGTCCCCTGGCAACTTGTGGCTGAGCCTCTGCATAGAGGAAGGGGACAACTGTAGGTCTGGCAGAGTAGTGGAAGGGAGCAGGAGGTTAGGAGCATCTTGGGCAAAAGGGAGGGAGGATGAGCATCTGATGTATCTGGAAGCAGCTGGTAGGGCCTGGAGGCTGCTGTTGTCACTGCTGCAGTCACATGCAGCATTTTTGAGTGTGAACAAGCTGGAGAGCAGGGCACTGCGGGGCCCCCCAGCCAGTCCCTGGCACCAACGGTTTTACCGCTGAGCTCCCACAGCACGGCCCCCACTGTGCATATGCTCACAGTTGTGTTTGAAATGGTCTGGAAATGAAGGAGTTGGCTATTGCTGCCTATCCCCCACCCACCCAGCTCCCCTCTATGCCCTTCCTTCCCTTGTTCCTTGCCACGCCACCGCGGGGGCTCTCACCTGCCCCCTTGCAAGCCAGGGGGATGCAGAGATGGGGACCCTCCACACCACCCTCGCCAAGAGTCACCTCCAGGCCCCTTTGCCATGAGGGCAGCAGGAGGGAGGGCAGAGCCCTGCCACAGGCTTAGTGGGCAACAGTAATTCCCCTTCCTGCAGCAAGGACTTGCCTCTGGACCCTGGTGCAGACGCCGAGGTGTGCATCTGCCACAGCCTTTCTGCCCCAGTCCAGCCACCACCTCTTACAGGGACATCCAGGCTCCACATCATTTCAGCGTGCATATTTATCGCTTTCCCCCCACAAGACATGTATTTGAATTTACTTTTGGTAAACATAACAACAGGAGATGCAAATATGTGCTGGGGAAGCATAAATAACTCCACACAGATAGACACACACACACAGACAGCAAACACAGACACGGTTCACCAAGGGAAACCAAGAAGTGCAGAGCACGCCCTGAGGCTGCCACCAGTCCCAATGGCTTTACTCTCATCCACCAAGCCAAGAGGATTTCTCCTGCTCTTGCTTTGCAGCAGCTGGTGGGAGAATAAAGCTGGGGAGGAGGAGTCTAAAGTTGCAAATATTCCATGAAAGCATCATGGCAAGTCCTGGCTCTGCAGTTTCCTGCAATCATCTCCAAGGAATGGTTCCAGTTGTAGGAAGTTGCAAGTCTTTCACAGTGTGAAAGGGTGGAGGGGCATGGGGACCACCAGGAGGGAGGAGCAGCAGGTCATCTTGCAATGTCCCAGTTGCAGCCAGCCGATAAACCTTCATGTGGGAACATCGGGGCTAGATGCTCCATCTAGGTCCTCTTCTGCCCTCTCTAAGGTGCTGATTCTTCTTTAGCTGAGAATTACCTTCAACGGGACATCATGCGAACAAACTCTGCAACCAACAAGAAAAGACAGCCCTGAAGCAGAAGGCGTCCATGGTCCCCAACCCAGCTCTCATTCCCTGGAGACAGCATGCAGCCGGGGTGAAACCGAGAGTCCACACACTGCCAGCAGGTCGGTGCCACTCTGTGACTGGCCCAGGAGAGCTCACACAAAATGTGTCTCACTCCTTGCATTAGATACAGTGATAGGATCCCACTAGCAGGTCAGTTCATTGCCTCAGACTCCTTTCCAGCCAGTGTACAGTCTCGTTTTCACAAGCAGCTCCTTGTGAGACACCAGGGCAAGTGTTGTCTCCCTTCATTGTAACTCCAGGGAACCGCCTTGGGAGCACAGTAAGATTTCTTAGTAAGCTTGCTACTTCACAGAGACACCAGTGTGGGAAAGCACTGGTGTTTTGGTAGGTACCAGCATTTTTGTAGAGAAAAGTTTACTTTGATAGACTTGTTATTTTGCAAGATACAGGTTAACTGTAAGGACACCCTGGATCTATTTCTTCACCACCCTGCAGCCTGTGAAGTCAATTACAGTTGTTCAAATTGAGTGTAGATGCCATCAAATAGAAATGTGTTTTCATTCTGCACTTGAATTGCCAAGGAACTAATAACTCTGCAAAGAGGAGGGCAGTGGAAATTACCCCCTTGACTTCTCCTTTTCCATTGATGGAGCTGTCCTTTGACAACTAAAGCAGTAACTCACGGAGAAAATGATACTGGGATAGCATTTCATGTATTTTAGCTGTCTAACATAATTTAGCTGTGGGAAACAAGGAGAGCTACCGTCATGTAATCAGCCAGTGCATTAGAACAACTGCAGCTACCAGACACTCTCTAGGGAAACACTTCTAGTATTTTAGCATTTCCAAAGCCCTCAGAAGCTTCAGTAATCCTGAGTACTGAGACTCCTTGTCATGCAGGAGACCCAGGAACGCCTCTGAGCCAAAAAAATTATGTCAATTTTATCTTAATTCTGTAGTTCCCATGCTTCACCTTTACTGCAAAGGGATGTCTGGATTTGCACTAGGAAAACGAGCAGCCTGCCACACTCTCACACCTTCCAGCTCTTATATCCGCTTAGCTGTCTGATATCAACTGCTTCCCTTGCCAGAAACCCTGAGCTCTATTAATATTGTTCCTGCCATGGCTAAGGGCTAGGACAGTAGCCTAACCACTCTTATTTTTCCAAGTCCTTCTGGCATGAAAAGTGAGAGAGGAAATTAATTATCTCTGGGATTTAACATGACACCTCTAGATTAGATATCTGCAGTCCTAGTGAGCACTTCTGATATGTGACCATCTTCTGGCATAAAGGCACAGAAACAAATTCTCTATAAACCCAGGTAATAAAGTGAACCAGAGGAAACGGAAGGTGCAATGCATTCTCCAAACCAATCCAGCCTCCTCGCAGCTCTTCCAATAGATTTAACAGAAAGGAAAATGCCCCATAAAAAGTAGGCTGGCATAGCATGTGTGTACCAGAATCTGCTTCTCTGTGACAGGCCATATCTCTTACCATGCTAGAGTTATGGAGAGAGACCCAAGTGAAACTGAGATGCAGCAAAAGATGATACACAAATGAATACTTCAGCTGAGGAATTTCCTGTGTGGGCAAATATTCTCCATTTTCCTTAGCAGATTGGAAAAAAAAACCCGTCTTGTTCGCTTTTTTCTCTATACTTCAGATGCCTGGGCCCCGAGCATGCAAATCTTCCCTTCCGCTTCCACCTCTGAGCTGAAACGCTGACTCATACCAGAGCAGATGAACAGGGAGCATTCATCCCTTCTCACCTTCAAAATCAACCCGCCCATCTCCATTCAGATCCACGTCCCGGATGATCTCTTCAATGTCCCGATGGCCCACCTGCTGCCCTAGAAGCTTCTTCATGGCTTCTCGCAGCTCGCTGGTACTGATCTCCCCATCACCATTGGTGTCAAACTGCGAGTACATGAAAAATACCAGCAGGAGAAACACAGTTAATGGAAACGGATCTTGCTCTGGGTTGGATTTTGTATTGTCCTGCTCCTGAGTACCCTATTTTTCCTGCATTCCTTTTGTGTCCCTCCTTTTCCTCCTTTGGGTGCCTTTTGGATCCAGTCTCTCTCTTCTCCTCAGAAACCCCTTGTAACTCCTGTGCCTGCACCAGCTTTTCTCTTCCTTGCCTCAAGGGTTCCCTTATCTCAGTGACTTTTTCTGCTTCTCCCTTGTTTCATGCCTGGCTTGGTTCTTTCTCTGTCTTCCACTGTGCTGCTCCCTCCTCCTCCTCTTCTCTTCCCCAATGAGTCTTCTCTCTTTCCTGCCTCCTGTTGCTCACCTCTCTAGGGGGCACGCGATAGGGAAAACTCACCTCTCTGAAGGCATCACGGAGCTCTTTTACACCAATCATGTCTGCTGTTTCTGCTAGCAGCTTTGGTCCCATCAGCTCAACAAAATCTTCAAAATCCACATGGCCACCCACTTGGGACAAGATGAAAGATCATGTGTAAGAACTCCATGCATTAGCCAAGCCTAGTACTCACTTTGCATTTCTGTGTGCCCCAGAAAGAGCTTGGTTCTCCAGGAAGCAAAGCACAGAAGGTGCAGGACAGTGGAAAGAAAAGCAGAGGTAGTTTTACAGTGTCTCTGTATTTTCTGGATTATGGGCAAGGGTGAATGAGCCCAAGCTTTTCCATCCTAGGCTGCCATGGACTGTCACATCCTTACGGCATCACGTACTAGGTGTTACAGACTTGATCATTCTAGTGCTTACAGCAACCCTCTGCTGCGCCTGTGCCAAAGGGTACGGCAAGGGCACAGCATGACGTTCCTGCATGGCCTGGGCAGTGCCCTGCAGCAGTGGTGGAGTCTTGCTCCATCAGCAGTGGCTAATGTATGTCCAACTGTTTATTCATCATGTTAGTCCTTTTTCTTGTTTGTCCCCTATCTGAAAGCTGGCAGTAACACTCTAAAATTCCTAAGCACTTGTGTGCCAGGGTTATCAGCCGCTTTTCCGTATGACCGGTTGCGTATGTCACAACTGTTTTCCTTCTCTTGGCCAAGTAATCTGTCCTTTTCACATCATTGTGTGTCAGAAATAACATGCACTATATATCCTTTTCCCACCTGGCTGAGGGTAATACCCTACACTGCCAAAGACAAGAGGCGGCAAAAAATGATGGTGAAAGACAAGGGGCACAAACAGGGTTACAGTGAATCGGGCACGTTTGTCACATTTTTCCATGACTCCAGCAGATGCCCCGATCTGTCACTGCCAGCACAGCTCACTTGCACTCCATCCCCAGGCACACAGCAGATCCACTAACACCCACCACAGGGCGAACAGCCCATCCATCACCCACTCTGACCAAAGAAGCTCCATCTTCCCAAGGTCTTTCTTCAGTCTGACATCCTCTGACATCAGCTTTAATATGACAACACCCACAACCTGTGCACTGATGTCTAACTGCCCGCATCAAGGGCAGTTTTATACCTGACAGCGTAAGCATGAAGGACAACTCTTCCCGAGAGTGCTCCCACACAGCACAGTCCACACAGTCCCTGCATGAACTGTTAGGGACCACAAACGAAGAGATGATAGGGAGCAAAAATAAGAACCAAGAAAAGAAAGGAGGGAAAAAAACAAAGGAAAAGAGACAGCAGGAAACTGAGAGAGCCTGAGACAGCGATGCACAGCAGCAACAGGAAGGTACAGCTAGGTTACTCACGGTTCATGTTGATCTGCTGGGAGAGCTCTATTAGCTCCATCTCGGTAGGCATGTAGCCCATGGTTCGCATGCAGTTCCCCAGGTCCCTGCAGTTAATAAACCCATCCTTGTCTTTATCAAACTCCTTAAAGGCTTCTCTTAATTCTGTGGGAGTGGATCCAAAAAAGAACAATATTGTCAGTGACAACTTAAAACACCTTTTCCAAAAAAAACTCCTCAGAATCAGCAGCACTTTATGGGGCCAGATTCCCTAAAATAGTCTTTATTTTCCCAGCAGATCTCCCTGCAAAGAGGCAACGACCAGAGCAATGTTAAGCTCTTCTATCAGCAGCACTGCTGATTCATTCCTTACAGGAAAGCTTGCTTGGACTACAAGTGCCATCAACTGATCATTCCTAAACTGCACTCCCTAAAGAAACTGGAAGCAGTGTGTTTTCCCAACTTTTACCCCTGCACTATATTATTTAGCACTTATTGTAGGGATTAGAAGGTAAAACAGCTTCCCTGAAGCCATACTGTTGTATCATGCTCTACAAGACTTTCTGTGGGAGCTGGGGCGGACAGCAGTTCCCTGACAGCTAACATCCCATTACTTTACTTAACCTCCCACCCTGAAGAAGCTGGAATGGATGCATATTCCTTCACAGTCAGCACTTGTGTAGTTTTACATGTTATTTGTTTTTGCTGGAGTTGCCAGGAATTCTTCCAGTAATTGTGTCCTTGATTTGCCCCAAATTATTTTACCCCATGGGAGCCAACCTGGAAGTTGGTAGGTTGCCAGTAGGTTTTCACTGGGCAGGGAGAAAGGTAACACAGAAGCAATGACAAATTTTACCTTCAATTTCTTCTGGACGCAGCTCTCTATCCTGCAAAAAGAGAACATACTACGTTAAAACTTGCCACAAACATAGTTTCAGAATAGCACTTGTTGGTGCAAATAGTTCTGGGACAAGCCAGAAAGTGAGAGAAGAAACAAGAAGGTGATGACATGTTTAATACCGTCTACCTAGCAAGGCTCCCCAGCTCTCCTCCCCAACAGGGCAGGTGTTGGCCTGCACACTTCGCTGTGGAAGCCCCTCTCCATCTCATCTGCTGGACAGGGGGATGACAGGTGCTCCCTCAGAACAGAAGAGACCTGGGCCAGCACAGCAACACATGTGGCCTCCCCACCTGATAGCTCTATGAACACCTTCATGAGGCTCCTACATCATTCCCCAGCACCAAGTTCTGGAGCCCAGACCGGCCCTGCAGCAGTTACGATCTCCTCTAGAGATCTGATTGTATTTCCTACTGCAGCTCCTGCTGACACAGCGAGATCAAAACAGCTGGAAGCAGTCCCTGTAACCAGCAAGTCTATACCATCGTCTGCTTGGATCACTGTCCTTCTGGCAGGACAGAGACAGCCACGAGCTCTCTTACAGCCAACACCCCAGTGCCATCTCCTACAGTCAGTCCCCACAAAAAGGTAGGAACTTCCCCCTTCCCCCCAGCCTCAACTCCATATACAAGCATTTTGAAACCAGGCAGACACACAATATATACATCATCAAGGTCATCTACAAACAAAACAGGACAAGGATTCACCATGTTCAGGAAACACTGCAACTTCAAACATCCAATCTGAATTTCTTGGAAGAAGGGGGAGGATATAAAAGAGTATAGGAAAATTCCAACACTGCACCAAGAAGAAGAGATGAGCATAAAAATGCACTGCTTTCTGGTTTAAATGCCCTTTCTAATTCCTCTCATGGCTCCCAGGCATAAATCCAAAACATCTGAGAATTTGGAAACACAGAAACGCGATCTCTCTTGTCGTCTCACTCTCAGCTTTTCCCCTCAACCGTGGGGAGTTTCTCCTTGCCTTCCAGGTGTCCTCCAGTCTCACCACACATCCCTGGAGATGGTGCCCTTGATCAGTTAGAGAAGGATGATCCTTTGCTATTTAACCACAGGCTCCTCTGCAAACGCTAATGGCGGCAGCTCAGAGTGCATAGCAAACTAGGACACACACTGGTTTACGTCTGTGCAAAAGTGGGCTGTGCCAGAGAAATGACCAGCTTGCCACTTATAACCTTCCCAGAGGCATCTCTGTGCTGGATGGAACTGTCAGAGCGCGCTGGCTCTGCCGTTTCATCCTTCACAGACCTGGTATTTTCAAACATGTCATCCCATTTGTTCTGCTTTCATCAACATCAAGTAATAAATCAATTCAAACTCCTCAGACCGACGCAGGAGGCATTATTGCACCCCTGCCTTAGATAGAACAGCAGATGAAAACCACCCATGATCAGTACCAACACCTCGTGCACTTCATTCCAGAGTCCACAAATATTAATCCCCAGAGATACTGCCAGGTGCCAACAGCCGGCTTGGCACGGCAGCAGAGGCAGAGGCTGGATTACCCCCCCCATGGTGCGAAGGGTGCTGTGACACCCGCAGCAACCCCTGTCTCGTGAGAGTGGCTGGGGTGGGACCCAGGCCAAACTCCAGAGCAGTCGTCATGAGACCATCCTCCTCCCCGCTCACTGGAGACCACGTTGCAACCGACATGACTGACACATGTCAGAAATGGGCCTCAGCACCGGCTCTGCTTTTGCACACCAAGGCATTTGCGTTTGCAGGGCTCTGAGCACATCTTTGCACATGCAGATCCGACCACCAGAGAGCCACAGACTGCGAATGCAAAAGGAGAGGGAGGGTTTATGTCCCTCCAAAAATCTGACTCAAGCGACAACTAACGTCATGAAGAGGTTTTCTGTTTTAAATTTGAAAGAAGATCCCCTGAAATGATAAAGGGAGAAAATTGCTTGGGAAGAAATGGGCTGAATCACTCTAAAGCTTTTGGAGAACATATGGAAAGAGGAATAAAACTGTTCAAGGAGTTTAGATCCTAGATATGAGCAGAGGTGACCCTCAAGGAGTCCGTTGTACATAACGGTCTTACCCTCATTTATTTCTGTTCTATGCACAATAAATCCTGTTGGTCTAGAGTCAGTAAAAGTAAAGCTGTTTATCAGATGCACTTATTCTACATCAGGGTAGTTAGAGACACCACTAATCCTGTTTTGGAAACTTCTTACGGTACTGTGAGTTTCCAGGCCCTAAACAGGATGGATACCTGTCCAGCTGTGAGCCTTCTGCTAGGGAGCTGGACCTGCTTCCTATATTGGGTAGTTCTGTGCATGTGTGCTTGCGTGAGAATATTACATTTTGTGTTTTAGTGGACTGGCCCAAGGAATATGTGATCACTTAGTGGCTGCAGGTTAGGAAGAACAAAAGCTATTTGATCAATAACAACAAATAATGACTCTATTTTGGGTTGTTGGTTGAAGAAGAAGTTTCAGAAATGAAGATCCAAGTGTCTCCTACAGCTGTAGATAGCCATATTAACACAGGAATAAGGCAGACACTTCCTACAGAGGCCAGAAAGCTCTGACTCTCAGATAACTGGGGTGAGCTTTGTTTCACCAGAAGAACATGGAATGCACTGGGTGAATATCCGACAACGCACATATTCACTCATACGTGTCCATAAAAAGTGTGTTAATAATATGTTTGCGGGTGTCTTTAAATTCATGTTACTGTAGGAATCAAATATTTATGTGCAAAAATATAAATATACAATACTGGGGTGTATATTTCTGTATATTTAACATGTCCAGGTGTATACATTTGAATTTAGATACAAACACTTGTTTTTATTGTTTGTATATAAATGCATATATTAGATGCATATGAACACACAGTTCCAAATAGGTGTGACTGAATGTTTGGATGGATTTTTGCTATTTATCTGTGCGTGTACGGGCAGCAGCATTTGGTGGTCTGGTACTATTTGCAAATATGAGGACAGACTGATGCTCTTTGGTTTATTTGGCCGGGATTGCTACAGTGTTGGGTGGTGTATGACAGTATAAGAGATTGCCTTTGGGTATCTGTGAGGAGGCAGGTGCACGCTTATTTCTGCTGGTACTGGTGTGCCCACTGTGAGCTGATAGGAAGAGTATCAAATATGGGCATCTCTGTGGGACGGCTTGTTCCCAATACGGATTCCCTGATTTGCATTTAAGTGGCTATTTAGGCCTTAAATGCTAATCTGAGCCTCTGGGAATGAGATGTGGATGTCTTGCTGGAATAACAGCTTTGAACACTGGACTCCTCCTGAGTCCATATGATTATGTAAGTCCTGAAGTCCTAAGTCCTTCTCCTCAGTCCATGTAATTATGCCTACTTGAGTGTAGGCTTGGATCTATCTTCCATAGCTGCATTTTTAGAATCCTCCTTTCTTGGTGTTTAGCCACAGGGATATCTCTGCACATCCTTCAGGTTAGACATTTGCCTGTGATTGTATTGGTACTTGGAGCTGGAGCCGGGATGCTCGAGTCCCAGGGCTGGGGGTTACAGAGCTCCGCGCAGACGGAGCATGCGGGCAGCTCCGCATCCCCGGCTCGCGTCCACGTGGCTTTGTGCATGTCTCGCCCGGCTGGGTGTAACTTACGTACAGGCTGCCTGTTTTCTGCGAAGCCCTTCCTCAGGAAGATGCATGCTGGCCCCAGCAGGTTGTGCATGACGGCGCAGTTCTGGGCCAGCACCATGAGTGGACCCTGGTACTCGCAAGCCGATGGCCCCTCTTCGCTCGTCTGGACAGCCTTATAGCACGTCTTCTCCTCATGGCGGATCTTCCCAGCCAACCAGCAGCAAGCAAACAACACAACAGAGGATGTTACCTCCCCGTCTCGCCCAGCCGTTCCTCTGAAGTTTTACTGAACCGCCTCGCAGATATATTATTGCTAAATTTCCTTCATCTGGTCCACACCGCGTCCCCCCCACTGGTCTATTAGGATTCATACAGAAACAGTAAGTCCAGGAGTTCACTTTCAAAAGCTGGCAGAAGTACAACCAACCAGGAGGATTTCACTTTGAAACGACATCAAACTCTCAGCACTGCTCACATCTACCCAGACACAGCCCAAAGGGCCACGCTCCCACTCTGAGCCCCAGAGTTAACGATCCCTCGAATGAGCTGCAAAGGACGAGCACACCCCAACCTAACAGCACGTGTGCCAGCCTGTGCCCAGAGCCGCCCTGGCACAAAGACACTGCGTTAGGCTCTGCATTACATTTCAGCAACACAGCATCACACGCTTTATAATATTATTAGAAGGCCGTTTATGGCATCAGGTGGCTCTGCCAACTGCAGGCTCACACTCCCTGTGCCACTTCTAATTAGTTACGTCCCCAGGGTCTCAGGCAGTTACTGCGCTGGCCTCTTCTAATCGCTGACAGTCCCAAAGTGGAGATCAGGCATGGGCACAACATTTTTGTCTGTTTGCATTTGCACGTATTCCTAAATGCACACGTCCTGCTAAGCTAGGGCTCCAGAACAGAATCCAGCACTGGATTTTATAAGGAGGCACTGCTTTCCTTTTATAGAAATGCATTTCCCTGGCTCTGCAAGAAAACTCTTATCCTGATATTCCCATGCAGCTATAAAAAGCCAGCACAACCCACAGGACCCTTGGTTTTATAGAATAAACATTAATCATACATCAGATTCCTCTTCAGGAATGATTCTACTTTTACAGCCGGTGTTCCCAGGGGTGATCAGAGAAGCTCTGTCAATTGTCATTGTCTCTATTAACCCTTTCCTTAAAGCCTGAAGTGCTTTTTCAGGCTAAAAGACCAGAACACACATACGCCCCATTCGCACCTGTCCGAGTCTATTGTATCTACTTGCTGTGTCTGCCATGTGCTATTATACCACACATGTGGTTTGTAGTTCACATTTTTGTACACAGTCTTACGCCAATCTGCTCATGTTTAGTGTCATGTGAATATCAAGCATCAAAATAAAACCAACTCAAAAAGTAAGCCATGGAGAAAGAAAATGATGAAGCAGAAAAGCATTTTCATTCCAGTCATGGATGAGGAAGAAATCTGTCTCTGATTAAGTCTGACACATAGGACACTTGTCCTTAAAAACCTGAAAGATGAGCATCCGTCCACAAATGGCATATTACTAGCTCAGCTAAATGTCAAGGCATCTGTGTTGAACTGCACAGCTTCGTGATATCAGTGCAATGGATTTTCAAAATTACCAGCTTTATTTCCTGGCACATTTTCCAGTTTAATATACCCAATAATATCAATAACTTAAAATAGCCCACATTGCTTCTGTGCTTAATTCCAGTGAAGCCATGTGAAATATTGAAGGCCCCACAGCCCCTAATCCTTGTTTGCTGACCCTTCCAGTCAATAGAGTTTATTACCAAGCCACGGAGCAGTACCACAGAATGGTCATCCCATTATTTTCCTGTGCAGATAGAGATTGCCAGTTTGATGAAACAGTTGCCAAGAGCCACCAAGGATCCTGACCAGACAACTTGATGCAGTGCCAGGACGACAAGGTGCACGGCTTAGCAAGACCTCGACAGGGAATCCCTGCCCTGCTCTGCCACTGCAGGCAGGATTTAGGGCATTCAATGTTCCCTTTGCCAGCAGCCTCCTAGGTTTCTCCTGCAAGTATTCCCACAAGTTCCTTCCACCATGTTCCTCCTACACCCTGGCAGAGCCAGGAAGGGAGCTGTGATATGGGTACAGGGCAAAGCAATGTCAGCCGCCCATTACAGGGGAAACAGCAGCGTGCACAATAAGGAATATGCAAGGACAGGACCGGGGAACACAGGCTTTCCCTGTTCCTTCCCCAAGCAAAGGACCACTGCTCTTCCTGGCTGAGTCCGGCCCTCAGCTGTGCCAGACTAGCAGATTGAGCAGAGAGAAGAGACTGGGCTGATTTAGAGATGGCTGTAGTGATGGTGAAGGGTGGCAAAGCGAGGGACTTGGACGCCAAAGATTTCCCCTTCTGCACAGCAGAAGCACAACAGGATTCACGCCATTTTCCTGCCTGCGTGTCAGAGGGACTTTGCAGAGCGGCAAGCCTAAGGAGCCTCTTCATCCCGACTGCAGTGCCTCTCAGAGGGAATGGCAGCCAGGCTGGCTGCTGGGATCACCAGGGGATGGTGATCAGTGACAGTGGGAAAGTGAAGTTGCCAACAACAGGCGTGGAGACAAAGCCTGCGCATCACCACCAAAACAGGCAAGGTGCCCCCGTGTCAGCCAGACCAAGCCAGCTGGTACCTGGGAGCAGCTCCCAGATTTCGGGTTGAAATCGTGTATTCAAGAGATCGGTCTGTCACCCAAGAGCGGCTTCCATATACGTTGTCTACAGTCCCTTCTTTTTACCATTTCAGCAAAATTAGTTTAGATAAAAGTTGAGATAAAATCTGAGAAAAAAGACCAGGGTCATAAAACAGCCGAGTGAAGTTGTGCAATGTTAAGACTGATCTGCAAAGTCTCCACTACAATCACGTGTGTTGTGATCAAAAGAACAGCAGAGCCCCAGGACCTGTCAGGATAAGTGCCCAAGGCCTTAATTCATGGATAGCTGGAGCCACGTCCAAGAAATTCTCTAATTCAGCTTTGCAACTTTCTATCTTTAGTCTTGCCATCCCAGACCTTCTAACTAGGCACAAAGTGCGTTGTTCAAAGCAGCTTTTAGGAATGAAAGCATAAATTACCTAAAAGACTGACGACACAGAGCTTCTAAGTTCTTCAATCCATTTTGATTCAAGCAGCCTGGCCACACCTCAGACTTGAGCTGCAATCGCCTTGGTCATGTTGAGCTCAGTGGCAGCCCGCTCCTTTTATTGCAAATTGGAGGCAACCTACAAGCAACTGAGTTGGTTTTTCATATGTGCAACATTTGGATAAACCTCAGCTACTTCTGCCTCTCCCTGAAGGTCACCCTGACCTAGGGATTGGTCTCAACACTGCCTAACTGCTTGGTGATGAATTCCCTCCTCGTGTATCCCAGCTCCCCCGCAGCAGCGCTGTGCCATTGCTGGCCTTGTTTACAGCAGCCGAGATAACAAGCAAACAGTGTTCCTACACAGAAGAGCCAAAAGTCCAGCCAAAAGAAACTCCCTTCTAGGGAGGTCCTCTCCCCAATAGCTCCCTCCCAGAGGAGATTACCCTGGTGGCAAGATCTCCTGGGTGGAGCATCCTGATGGCACTGGCATTTCACTGTCAGCAAGGTCTCCACAGAGGCAACTCCTCATTGCAGTACTTCAGATGCTTAGCATAACTTTTTCATTTACGAGGAGCGAACTGCACAGGTTTTTGCAAAGTTATTAGATCTGCAGCAATGTTAAGTAAGAACTGTGCGGCTGACGGGTACACAGTGCTGCGAGACCTTCCTCAGTCAAACAAGAAATATTTCTGGGGCACGTCATTCCCGTCTCAATCTAGTCTCTAACAGCAGAATGGTTCCTGAATCTAATTCGTCCTGGGATCACTGTAAAACCTCAGCACAGAGCAGACTGCAGGCTGAAGCCTAACAGATACACATGGCAGCTCGCAGATGAAGTCCAGCTGGGTCCAAGCATGTAGACACCGGCCATGCTGATGTGCAACATGATGCATGAACACGCAGCCAGGGCCCAGTGCGTCCTCTCACAGAGGCATGGACAAACAGATCACAGGGAAAAACAAGCTTCTGTACCCAAACACACATCAACAAAACTAGATGTATGCATACGCAAGGATGGATGTCCATAAAAACACGCGCGTGCCTACATACAGACTTGCGTGCGGAAACCCGCTAGCAGGTATACACACAGCACCATACGAGCAGGGACACGCGTGTGACGCACACAAATTGCCCCCCATACACTCACCACAAACATTGCACACCTGCTCACGCACCTCAGGATGTGTACGTAGGGACGTAAACAGCCAAGGACACACACGTATTTCGGATGGGCTCGTTAGCTGTGCATATTCTTACGCACCAACAGGAATACACACGGATACACGCCCATTCACATAGACATGAATATATGACCCTACAGAAATGACACATATGACAACTCCTGCAGACACCCCTTGACTGAAGCACATGCACACACACACACAGACTCACTTACACACACAGGTTACGATGCCTGTACAGAAAACGTGTGCCAGCATTCCTGTGCACGTTGACAAGCACAACCTTGCACGTACCCAGAGCCCAGCTATACACACGCACAGAGCAGGACACAAGCCTACTCACATATCCACACACACGTTTATTTACACACATGCTGTGGCACCAGCATCCCGGGCTCTAACGGCTGCACTTGCACGAGCAGTTCTCACAAAAATAGACTGTTGAAGAAAGTTGAACCCTGCGTACACATCTCTGCGTTTCTCCCACCTCCCGCTCCCATCTGCCCACAACGTCACCCATCCCAAGAAGCAGGGCTGGAAATGCACAATGCACTTTGATTCAGGGGACATACCTTTTTTGAGAGGTTTCTCAGTGGAGACTTCACACAGTTGCCCATAATATGCTGAGTCTGCCTTTCCGGTGGACTTGGTTATAAAGGAACTGAAGCAATTGATCCCATTAAAGGTATTCCTTGGGAGCAAAGCAAGAAAGGCAGTGCCAGGCAAATCCAAACAGCTACTGGCTGCTGGGGCTTCCCTCTTCAGGGAGCTTTTTCTCTCTCTGCCTCTCCCTCTCCGTGTTTTTACTTTATGTTCACTTTCTTGAAGAGATGAAGCAGGAAGGAGAGGGAGGGGACAGAAACAGACAGAAAGAGAGGGAGAGAGAGGGAGAGAGAGAGAGAGTGAGAAGGGGAGAGAGAGGGAGGCGGATGTATAATCTACATCAGATTAATGTTCAAATCCCTCCCACCCCCCTCAATCTGCAGGCAAGATTGTTTCACTCATGGGAGAGGGCTGATTCAGGGAGAATTAAAACAGAGAGGCACCGCAGAAGTTATTTCAGTGATGAGTTCAGTGAATCCAGCTAGTTTGGGTCCACACAGCCTCTGAACATCGCATCCCTACCCACCCCCCTTCTAATTCCTCTTGGCTTTTCAATTACCAGAGAGCTAGGCTGGCCAGAAGGCAATCCACTTAGGGGCTTGAAGCAGAGTCCAGAGCTCGTTTTGGAGCAGAAATGGACCATTTATCTGGGTGGGACCTGTTTCAGCTTATAAATGCCAGCAGACACAGAAGTCCCTCACTCTTTTTCTGCCACAAGTGAAAGCAAGCCTGAAGGCAGCGGTCCAGGGACCCTACAACACTCTCAGCCCCAGGATAGTAATTTTTAACCACAAGGGAGAGACCTTGAGCCAGCCTTGCTGTAAAGTTTTTCCAGCTTTCTGCAAGTAGAAATCAACTGGCAGTTTACCTGCACGAGTCTGCCAAAGATGGGCTCACACCTGAATCTTAAATCTGAACAGCCCCAGTGTGAAGAGCTACCTCCTTCAAGAACTGAGAAGACCAAGAAGACACTGCTCCTACACCCTGTGTATGCAGCAGGCTGGCTGGACACTCAGGTGTTCAGCTGAAAGATTTCACAACTTTGTGAGTGTGGTTCCAAACAAAAGACTCTACAAAGATCTAATCTGAGGGCTGAGCACTTGCACCACATGGGTTTTTTGTGCACGAGCCAAGGACTCACTCTCCTGTTGGCTCTAGGTCTATAGGACAGGAAGAATGAACTATCAATGTCACAACAAAGCAGGGATTTCTCTGCTTCCACCCTGATGGTGCTATGGCAAATTAAGTATGATTGTAAGGTGAATCAATAGTTGCTTTAGAGCTTAGAGGCTTCTTCCACCTGAGGAGATGAGCTTAGGAGTCCAGCCATGTCAAGAGTCAACAGCTTCTCCAGTTCTAGTCGCAGCCAGAAGTTCATGGCCATGCGGGATAGGGTTTCTTGTTCTTCCTTGTAGTAAATACTGCCCAAGAGTGAAGGCAGTGGAACAGTCTCCTCTCAGATCCCCTCAATGCCTTCTTCGCTGCATGGCCTGGAAAGGAGCTGTAGAGAGGTCCACAGGCCCTCCAAAGCAAGAACACTGGAAGACACACCTTGAACCCAGGGCAGACTGAGACAGGGACAGAGCAGAAGGGGAAGCTCTGGTCTGAAAGATCTCCATAGCAGAGCCCATCCAAGGTGGGTTGGGAAGCAAAACATTCCTGAGCTGGCTCTGTCTCTTGCTGTCCCAGTGTGACGACCTGTGACACTGGGGAAATACGCAGTCATTCCTTGGGGACTGTGCCAGCCCTGGGCCATGCAGTGGGGGACTGTGCAGGTGGATGTTGAAACTCCCCACCCCACTCAAGGCTTCCCATCTCTAGCTCTATTTCTCTTTCCCCTCTCAAAGCAGCTAATGGCATGCTGATCTACCCTTGGCCAAAGTGCCAGCCATTAATAATGTCCTCTGTCAGCTGGAGCCATTCCCCAGGCTCCTTGTTTATTGACGGAGGGCTTGTCTCCCTTGAGCAGAAACTGCCACACAGCAAGCGAGGCGCCTGGGCTCCTTCCCGAGACAAATGACTCCAATTCCAGAAGAGAGAGAAGAGAGAATCGCCTCCCTGCTGCTAATGAATCTCTCTTTGACAGGCAGCACAGAGGCCAGGAACGCCCTGCAATTGAGAAGTGCCCGTCTCCCGCATCCTCCCGGAAAGAGGGAATGGAGCAAGGGAGTCAGGCATCTCCTGCCAGGAGAATCCTTCACAGCCCCCAGACTGCCACAGGACAGCTTTGGAAGACAGGCATTGAATGTGCCTTACAGAGCTCTAAAAGCCTCTCAACAAAAGTTGAGATGCCCACCCTCTAAATATTAGCTTGTACCAGAGCATTTGGAGCCAGCCACCATGGCGCGCTGCTGCATTTGCCTGCTCTCCTGCTTTTCTTCCCTGCAGTTGCAGGCAGCTGTAGGAAACATGCAGGGCAGAGTCAGAGGGCTGAGACCTGCTGCCAGGCTTGGCAGGGAGTTCACAATCCAGGAAGGGAAGAAGTGATGGGAGCTCACTTGCACCAGGTTTGCAACACAGTCACAGTCCTTTGACTCTGCAAGAACTTTGGCAGAGCTGCAAGGGGCCCAAGAGATGCTATCGTAAGCAATTTTCTTATCTCCTTATTTACCCTGGATCTCTTAAGAGCAATTGGGCAGCACATCACAATCTAGCAGGCAGACCCTGCTGACCTCTGACGAGGAAAATCACTCTCTACATCGGGATGCTGCTCCAATCACCACCACGGGCAGCTTAGAGATACGCAGAAAAGTGGAGTTGGCAGAAAGGTCATTAGAAGATTAGGTGAGAAGGAACATATTTTCTCCCTTCCTCCAACTGATGCTGCCGTAAGAGAACAGGATGCTGAGAATAAGTGTGTCAAAAACATTTGTGTGTAGGTGCTGATCTGTGGGTATGCCTATATCTGGGGTAGTCAGTGTGCGTGTGGGAGGGCTGCACATGCATGTATACTGGTTTTCCCACACTGTTCTTTGTGGCAATCACACTGTTCTTTTAAGGTCTAGGGCTCTGTTGTAAACTTTCTCAAAATCGGTAGAACTTTGTGAAAAGCGAGTGTTGCCTATGTGCTCGCATCATCTTCTCTCCCCTGAGGTCCAAGGCGGGGAGCAGAGACCTCAATGGACGTGGTTTGGCATGAAGCGAGGCCTCAGCTCACTGGAAAGAAGCATTTGGCACATTGACTGACCTGAGCACAGCGCAGGGAGGAGGCTGGGTGACTTGGCATTCAACAGGGAGTGATTTAGGTGGTTTAATATGTCTGGATTCTTTAAAAAGCAGCAGTGCCGTGCTTTGGGCTGGCACCTTTGGCAGAAATGCTCAATTCCATAGGAAAATGTTGGATCCCACCATAGCCAATCACTTGGTAGCTGCCAGAAACTTTAACCAGTGGCAGCAAATATCCAATAGCCACAACAGAAAGGACAAAAGTAAATCCAAAACTTGGGATTGCTTATCAGACTGTAGCTTTTCTCGGCAAAAAGGTCTAGTGGAAGTATAGATTTGTAAAGGGAGACTGTTCAGATGCCAGGCCCATTTCAGTGCACGGTTTTTCACGTGCTGGAACATTATATCAGATGGTTGTTCTCAACACAACACAAACACTGCAACGAGGCAATGTCAGTCGGTAGGAGGGTTAATCTCTGAGAGGAGGATATAGTAAAGCAGGGAAAACTCATTCCTAGCATCTTTTCACTGAAGTCCATAGCTTTACCTAAGAGCCTACTGCACGCTTCAAAGATTTAGTATTTTAAAATAAGCCACCTTATTAATTTATCCTGACAGAGTAAGAATTTTTGGTCTATATTTTCATATCACTGAGTGGAGAGTGCACATATTGATTAGTAGCTTTCAAACCCACTCCCAAGCACCCTTTAGCTGCTGGCTATAGATCTGTATCTTACAAGAAACAACCTAGACTTGTTTACTGGATTACCTCAGATGAGCCTTAACACTTGGAATTGTTAACATCCTCCCATTGCCAGTGCTGTCAAGAGCCTTATTTCAAAGCTCCTGACCGCTGGAACATGCACCGACACTTCGAACTTCTGTGGCTGGCTTCTCTCTCTTCCTTCTGTGCCAGGCTTCCTAGTGCTTTCGCTGCACATCGAGATGTGTCTTCTAACCTTGAATGAACCTTGGGTGGTTCCATATTCCAGTCAGACAAGTACAGGTCCCTCTCAAGGGGAGGCACCAGCAGGTATTGGTGGATGCAGTCCAGATCCTCATCTAGGAGGGGAATATTTCTGCAGAGAGTTTGGGAACTTTCTTTGCTGTCAGCTGTTCCAGGAAGAAAGTGTTGCTGACTCATGCTGTGCATAATATTCTCTTCCATTAGAGCAATTGGATCATATTCAATCACCAACAGCAGAAAGGTTATTAAAAAGACCAAGGATATTTTCCATCCCTCTCAAGGTAACGAAGCCTCGACTGTCAACTTTTGTTTAGAACAGCTTTGTAATTAGCTAGCTTTATTCTCTGTTAGATGAAAAGAGATGGGAATGTGCCATCTCCTGACACCTTCCATACAGATCTGGTCCATGTACTCTGCACTAGCCCAGCTTCCGAGTCCCTGCACAGGAGATGTGTGGGCCAGTGCACAACATGTTGTGGATGTTTTCTGCTTTTAAGATCATCAATGGGCTACAAAAAGACAAGCACAAGCTTGACAGACCAGAAGCTGCTGTCACAATTTCGTCACAAAGATTGTTTAAAATAAACCTTATGTGGTCCCTTCCCTTCGCTCTGGGATATGAGAATTGTGAATCACTCTCTGTCCGTCTGGGACTACGGCAAAAGCAGCTAATTCTGCCCTGGATCCCTCATCTCTTTCAAAGTAAAAGGGACAGGGGCCAGTACTTGGCTGGCATGCTGAGATGCTACAGAAAGCGCTGTTTATTATTAGGTGAGCAGAAGCCTGAACCTAATAATTGGTTAGAACCAATACTAACCAAATGCTCCAAACCAGTGCTGCAGCGTTACACGAGATACACTGCTATAAAACCGAGGTCTGCCTCACTTTTGTCTTGAGTAAGGATCTGGCAGCACCTTTAGAAGGATCAAACTGTGTATCCCAGCATGAGATCTCCGGCTGTATCTCAACATAGCTGGTCATAAACTACCAAAAACTTTTTTGTGTCACTTTGGCAGAAGGCAGTGGGGTTGCTGACGGTTTTCTCTTCCTGCCTTCAACCGTCGTGACATGATGCCTCACAACATTACACGGTTGCCTGTTTCTTTCTAAAAGCAGAGAAT